TTTTTTTTTTTTTTTTTTTTTTTTTTTTTTTTTTTTTTTTAATTTTTAATATGTTTTTTATTTTTGCCTTTTTATTTTTGTCCTCTTATATCTTTTCTTCCATAAATAATTTTTTTAAAAATAAAATTCTCTATACTCTTGGCAGTTTGTCATGATAATGTCCATTCTTTTTTTTTTTTTCATTGGATTCTTAAAATTTTTATTTTATTTTATTTTATTTTATCTATTAATAAATTATTGGGTTTGTAATATTATTTCTAAATTTCAAGCTATTTTTTTATTATTATTATTAAAAAAAGTTTAATTTTAACATGATTTATTAATTCAAATTGTAATATTATTTCCAAATAAGTACATAGTTAATAGTAGTTAAATAAATAAATATATATAATTAAAGAAATAAAAATTTAAAAAAACAATTAGTAGTATTTAATTATAGAATCAATATCTAGGTTAACTAATATTGGGATTATAGTTAATTATCTAAATGAATTGTTGATTTACTTAATTAATAATTATGGCATAAAATTAAAACTATATTTGTTAGTGCTGTTATTTTTTACAAAATAGTAATAATAATAATAATACTAAAGTTAATTAATATGGGCTACATTATTAATTACACAAACTTAGAGGACTGAATGTAAAATAAATATAACAAAAATTGTCTCGAAAATAAATAGAGTTAAAATATGGGCTTAAAAGCAAGAAAAAAAAAGGAAAGCTTAGGTGGCAGAATCTGGCAATAGGAGAACCCGTGAATAAGGGGTGGCCCGCATTCTCTCTCTCTCACACACACAAAAATGAAAATGAAAATTAATAATAATAAAAAATTAAAAAAAATTTAAGAAGGAATTTTATTTTGCAAATCAGTTTTTTTTTTTTTTGTAAATATTTAATAATTTGGAGCAAAGGTTATTTTTTATTTTTTATTTTTTACCGTACCAAATTTACTCAAAATATTTTACCTCCATCTCCATTGGTCAAACTGACCAAGTTTATTTTTTAATGGTCATTTTGGGTATATTAACGAAATAAATGTTCGAGTTATTAAAAAATATAGAATATTCATTCATTCTTTAGTAGTTATACGTTCAAATCTCCACTGAATACAACACGTAGAGATGACAAAGTGTTTTTTTTTTAAAGGGACTTTTTTTTAAGCGTCGGTTTATGATTAAAGGTGAATAAATGAATGAAGCATATATAAATCCGACCTTATCGAAAACGAAGAATATACCCTTAAAAAGTCCTACAAATGAAACACACATAGGATTCTTGAGGATTTTTAAGGGCGTAAGATATAGGCAAACGGGTCCCTTTTAAAAATCCTTCTTCACTTTCTCTCTCTAATTTTCATGCATGCAACTAGGAGAGAGAAAGAGAGTGAAAAGACAAGTGTACCCTTTGGAAAAGGTGGGAGATTGAGCTCAAGTTTAGGGAAGTATGGTGCATGGGGGGAGGGCAAAATGGGGATTTTGTGTGGCTTTAGAATTAGGGTTGGAATAAAGAAGGTTGAGAAAAGGTAAGAAGAAGAGGAGGCCTGGAAGGCTCCCTCTCGGTGGGGTTAGCTTCATCGCTTTCACTGCAACTGCAACGTTAACTTTTTTTGAGATCCTACATCACTTAGAGAGAGAAACGAAACATTATTTTAAAGTTAAGAAATCCTCTCTCTAACAGATTCGTTTTAAACTTTTTGAAGGGAAGTATGAAAGGATGAGTCCAAGGAGAACAATATTTGCTAGCCGTGGATTTTGGCTCTTACACCGAAAAAAAGTTATAAACCCGATAATTCTCGAGGTCGGATATGCTCATTTCAGCTCAAAATCATTGCATGGAATTGGACTTTTTGGAGATTGAAACCTAATGAAAATAAAATGATTTCATATGAAAAGTGAAAAGGCCACAGAGAGAGAGAGAGAGAGAGTAAAAGAAATAGAGAAAAATGTGAACTTTTTTTAAATATTATTTTGGATGGGAAGAGAGAACATAATATGATCATAACGGAAACAGTGGGAGAGAGTCAATCAATGGATCAATCATGTTAGGTTTGTTTGTGGGGTTTTTATGACTTTGAGAATTCTTTCTTTTCCGACCAAATTCAAGGGACGGTATCAGAGTTGAGATTCAAATCTTTGACTTTTTAGTCGGTGATGTATATTTTAGCTCATAAAACTATGCTCGAGAATTTAAATAGTACTCGTTTTTGTTTTGATATCATTGTATTCAAATTAATACCCTTTTGAAAGATGGATTAATTAGAACAAGCAATCATCATTATCAAGTAGCTTTGAGAGGCAACAAAAGAAACAAAAAAAAGCAATGTTTTGAGAAACTTGGGTTCAAGCTCTCTCTTTCTATCTCTCTCTCTCTCTCTCTCTCTCTTTCTATCTCTCTATCTCTATCTCTCTCTATCTCTATCTCTATCTCTCTCTCTATCTCTCGCTCTCTCACTCTCTCTCTCTTTCTATCTCTCTCTCTCTCCTTGAAGAATTTCTTTTTTCTTTTAGCTTTTTTGGTGTTTTTATAGACTTTTTCCCATCTGGGTCTCTCCTTTTAATCCTCATTCTCTCTTCTTCCCATTTTGCAGCTTCAAATCTCTCTGTCTCTCTCCCTCTCCATTGAAGAAGCCATAGCTGTTAATCTTGAGAAAGCTTATTCCTTTGAGGGTTTTGAAGAACAAGAAGAGAGAGAGAGAGAGAGAGAGAATCAAGACATATCCTCCATGTTTTGATGTTTTGTTTTGTTTCTTGTCGTGTTTTTTTCTTCTTCTTCTTCTTCTTGTTCTTCTTCATAATCCAATTCTCATATGTTGTAGCTAATTAAGGGTTATCTCTCTTTCTGAAACCTTGGGCTTTTCTTGTATTAATATCTCTCCCTCTCTCCATTTCTGAAAAAGGGTTTTGATTTTAATATCAACAACAAGAACAAGAGAGAGAGAGAGAGAGAGAGAGAGAGATTTCTTTCTCTCAAACCCCCAAAAAAACAAAAAAAAACAAAAAAAAGACCAAATTGATTCATCAAATTTTGGTATTTTGTGTTGTTTTTATCTCTTGGAGTTTTCTCCAAAAAAAATGTTTGCTACAACAATGTCCAATTCAACTTCTTTGTCTGAAGAAGCTACTGTCTCTTTAAATTCTCTCCTTCCACCACAAAAGATCAAGAAGAAACGAAGCCTCCCCGGAAACCCAGGTACCAATTCCTGTTTTTTATCATAAAAATCCAAACTTTTTCTTGTTTTAATGCCAATCAGAGCTGTTTCTTGCAGACCCAGATGCTGAAGTGATAGCACTTTCACCAAGAACACTTCTTGCTACGAATAGATTCGTGTGTGAAATTTGCAACAAAGGCTTCCAAAGGGATCAAAATTTGCAGCTTCATAGGAGAGGCCATAATTTGCCATGGAAATTGAAGCAAAGAAACAGCAAAGAAGTGAAGAAGAAAGCTTATGTTTGTCCTGAGCCATCTTGTGTTCATCATCATCCTTCAAGAGCTTTGGGAGATCTCACGGGAATCAAAAAGCATTATTGTAGAAAACATGGAGAAAAGAAATGGAAATGTGAGAAATGTTCGAAAGTTTATGCTGTTCAATCGGATTGGAAAGCTCACTCCAAAACTTGTGGCACTAGAGAATATAGATGTGACTGTGGAACCCTTTTCTCAAGGTAACAATCCAAATCCAAATTCAAATTATTTGTTTTTGGTAACCCAAAAGGATTGGTCTTTTGTTTTGGTTGCCAAGCCTTTAGTGTCTTTTATTTTGGCAAAACTTTCAAATTCCACTTGATTGACACGTTTTTTAAGGAAAAACATTGCTCAAAATACATTGATCTTTAATGGGTATGGTCTAAATTTGTGAAAAAACTATGAAATTTTAGTCAAAATACGTTGATCTTTAGTGGGTATGGTCTAGATTTGTGAAAAAACTTATGAAAACTTGAAATTTTGATCAAAATACATTAATCTTTAATGGGTATGATCTAGATTTGAGAAAAAATTATGAAATTTTCATCAAAATACATTGATTTTTAATGGGTATGGTCTAAATTTGTGAAAAAAAAACATGAATTTTGGATCAAAATACATTGATCTTTAATGGGTATGGACTAGATTTGTGAAAAACTTGAAATTTGGATCAAAATACTTGAAGGGTTTGCAAAGATTGTTCGAGTAATGAGAAAAAAATGAAAGGTTTTGAGTGAATTGATTATGAAGAAATGGAAGGGATGGTTTTTTAAGGATAATATTGGATCCGTGACTCCTTTGTATTATTGTGTTTGAGAGAGCTCTGAAATTCTGAACCATTCATCATTATCAAAACTGCAACAAAATCTGATAGTTTATCTCACCTCCGGATTCTTTGTTTGCATGCATGAGCTACAGCGCTCTAAAATTAACCTAAAAAAAAGTGGTCCTTTTGGGATTTCAATTTGTGCTAATCATTGCATGCCAAATCTTTTGTGTTTGTGTAGGAAGGATAGCTTCATAACCCATAGAGCCTTTTGTGATGCTTTGGCTGAGGAAAGTGCACGGCTTTCAGCTAACCAATTCGTCGTTGCGGCGGAGGTTGAGGCGGTGGCGGAGGGTGGGGCGGCTACCTCCACCGCCTCTGCCTCCGCCCAATCTCTCTTCCCTTTTGGTAATCTTAATCAATTCCCTAGCTCTTCGCTGTCACGGCCGCCACAAACTTATATGTCCCTTAACCCTTGGGATAATCCCCAAAACCCTAACCCTAATCAAACCCACCAAATTATCAAGCCAGAAGACTCACATTCTCACCATTTTCACCAAATTCCAACTTTGCCCCTCGCCGGCTCCTCCCCAAGCACCGCCACCAACAACCCTTTTGGTATAATTCAAGACCACCACCGCCGCCATCATCCCCACCACCACCAGAAGGCAGGCTCTTCATCCTCCTCTTCCATGATAGCCTCACCGTTTAGGAACCTCCACGTGTCGGTGAATCCTGCCATGTCAGCTCATCTATCAGCCACTGCCTTACTCCAAAAGGCTGCAACAGTTGGGGTTGGAGCTGTGAAATCCAGTCAGCATCAACCCGAGTCAGTGGGCCATATGACTCACTTCAATATGCCTGACATCCCCGAGTTCGCTGCACCAACTCATATGGACTCGCTGACTCATCAACTCGGCCCCGACTACGCCACGTGGCAGAAGACAGATAGACTGACCAGGGACTTTCTCGGTTTGACTGGCGATGGGAACGGCGGCGGAGGTGGCAGTGGAGCGATGCAGGTTAGCATGAGTGTCAAAGATATGCTAACGTACGCAGGAGGATTGGAGATTTTTAAACCTCATAATAATAATAATAATAATAACAATAATAATAGTAATAATAATAATCATAGTGCTTTTGGTTTTGCGGAGCCAGCTGCCAATGAAACTTGGGACTGCTGAGTGAAACGATGTCGTTTTCGTGAATTTTCCAATGTGTTCAATTGCAATTTCTCTCGGGAGATTATTAAATTTTAATTAATGTTTTCTTTTTTTGCTTTCATATTATACTCTTAATTTGCTCTCTCTCTATTGTGTTTATTTTACAATTTATTTTTATTTCTATCGCTCGAGATTCATTAAATAAACATATAAGAATTTTCGAGGGCTAAAATTATATCTAATCTTGAATACTTATTAAATAATTAAATTTTAAATAATTCAAAATAAAATAGAGAAAAAAAGAATTGAGTATGATTAAGAATTGACAAAGAATTGGTAGGTAGTAGGAGGTTGTGATGTTAATTCAACTTAGCCTCACCATAATTATGGATTATTATTATTATTATTATTATGTTTTTTAAATATTTATTATTGGAATAGAAAGAAACCCAGAGGAAAAGGGAAACAAAATTATTAAAATATATATATATATATTTTTCTTCCCGTGATAATGGAATGATGGAACTTCATGAATCATGGAAAATAATAGTTGCATGCATTGAAATTACTAATATACCCTTGTTAATGTAACTTATTTACGGTCAGAGACCTTCGAAAGCTCTCTGCCCTACCCTTTGTTTGAAAGACGTAATATGAAAAGGATGGGGCAAAAAAATCCTTGTTTGACTGAAATCACCACCTTTTCTTTCCTTTTTTTTTTTAGTGCAAACTCTTACTCCGGTTGGTTCGTTTGCTGTATCGGTATGTATTAAGATCTCAATTCATTAATTTCAAAATTCAAAATATTGAAACGTTGAACTTTTAATTTTTATGATTTTAGAAATTTGAAATTACTCTATCATTTTTGACATCTTTTTTTTGTATGTGAAAGAAAGATGTAATAAGTTGGTGTCTTCCAAAAATGTCATAGGAGAAAACTACCAAACCTTAATCAAACCCAACAACACATCATTTTGAAACGACTTTACTAATTATTGAAATCAAAGTGTACCACATAATTCATTAGAAAAACTAAACCAAACCAAAATTGAGTTCATACTACAGGCGTTCAAACCTAATTTAAAATCATTATAGTTATAACGTGAAATATCGTTTTTAGAAAAATACATGAATTACATCATAATTATTAAATTTTAAATGTAAACTTGACTAAACCAAATAAAATTTGAAAAAAATTAAAAATTTTGCTTGAAATACCGTAAGAAATGAATCTCTAACAAAACTGGCTCATCTTAAGTTCAAAGGTTTAAATCTTCGTACCTGATATTTGTTGTTTAAATTCATGCCTGGTCGAGTTTTAAAAACACTAAAATTAGTTAAAAGTTGTGTCGTAATCATTTATTTATTATTATTATTATTATTATTATTTTTGTAATGTGAGCAAAAGCAACCTAAACCAAATGTGAGACAAGGGAATAGGAAAGGAGGGGGAAGAAAGAATAATGGCATGCGGAGAGAGAGTGGAAGTGTCGGTGGTGGGAACCATTTGGTGTACTCTTTGAGAGCGACGATGTGGGTTAGGGCCCCATCGCCCCTAATAGGGGACCCCAAGGCCAGCATTTCAAGGACAGCGATGCCACTCTCTTCTCCTCCTTCCTACCTCTTTTTTTTCAAATCTTTTGTCATTTTCATGTGTTTTTACCTGCAAAAGATGTAAAAAATTAATTTTACTGTTACGAACCTATCTCTGATTCGTTTTGTTTTTTCCTTCAAATGTGCAGCATATGAATTTGAAGTACGGATGCTTCCCTCCCTGTATATGTAAGGGATGTCAAGAAATCATTGATGTGTTGAGTTGTCAAAGGGATTTTCATTGAGGGGCCTCACAAGGAATCCATTTTCAAACATCTTGAGTAAATTGACTACCACATTATCATTGTTTTGACCTTTATATTATACTCTCTCTACCATGTCCTTTTGTACTGGGAAAGCAACAAAAACTTCAATATGGTAAATTATTTGTGACTATGGCGTATGAGCTTGTTAATTTGTTAGCTAGTTAAGAGGCCGAGGCATGTTATATGCATCATCTGAGCATGAGTTTCGTGCCTCGTGAGATCTAAGTTGATGATTTCACTACATAGCTAATGGAAAAGAGGCAATTTTAGTCATATGATTGGATATCATGGATGAGTGTTTTTCCAAAGGGACTTCTTAGTTGTGGGATGTGAAGCTAGGCAGAAAAAACAAATAAGGTCAAGTTTTGGCAAAAGCAAAAGCGAATGACAATTTTAGTTAGAAAAGAGAAAGAGGCTCGGAGACCATGAAAATGGATGGCAAGATGACATTATTTCACTCACTCCATGGGTTGAAATTCGAGTTGAAAAGATCAAATCCCAAGAATTTCTTTTTCTTCACAACTTTTCAAGAGGTACTAAGGAAATTACAGGAAATATTGTCATAGAGTAGCCTTTTGTAAAGTCAGATGGAGGGGTAGTAAAATTTGGTTGCAAGTGCGAGTCTTTTCTTTTTCTTTTTCCTCTCTTAAAAAAAAAAATAAAGCAAAACTAAGTTGATGATGTTATGTGAATTTGTGCCTAAGTGAGTGATTGTTTGTGGTGGTGGTGGTCCGGAACTTGGGTGCGGCTGCAAACTAAAAACCTAAAGGGGAAGAAAAAAAGAAAAGAAAAAGAAAAAGAAAAGAAAAGAAAAGAAAAGAAAAGAAAAAAAAGGAAAGAAAATGTCAACGGTGATGAAAATGATACCAACGAAGAAGCTCTGGAAGTTTGAATTGCAATCCTGTGGTGAGTCTTTCTTTTTTTTGTTGTTGTTGTTGCTATGAAGGCTTTATCAATTTCTGTGCATATTCCCCACAGCACAACCTTTAGTAGGCAGCTTAACCTGCAATAACATTCCAATTATTGACTTAAACCTTGTCCTTCTCTGCTTTCTCATATAGTCTACTCTACTGTTATCAGATCATCATATCAATCATTGGTGCAATAGACTCTTCAGCATGCTTGAAAAGTAATCAAATACTTTAAAATAAAAAAGGGAGCGTTTTTCATAGAGATTCATGCTCATATTTTATGACTTATTTTTTCAATCTAAATAATTGTGGATAGAGATTTGAACATTTAACCTATGAGTGTCACAGTTTACTCACATTTGAGCGCGCAAAATTTGAATATTCTCCCAAGTTGATGAGGAAAAAGAGCCCTTGTGGTAATGCCAAGTGGTGCATCTACCTTTATATGATTCCTGCAACCACTGTAAAAATGAAGTCAGCTTACTTTGAATAAAAGGGTTTTGGAATTTTTTTTTTTTTTTTTAAAGGAAAAAAGGCACTACATTCAATATAAAAAAAAAATACAAAGCTTATCAACTAAACCAAATAAAAGGTTAGGATATTCACAGAGAAAAAGAGAGAGAGCAGGGAGAGACAAACACAGAGAGAGAAAGAACCTGGGGATTAATGAAAGGAGGGTTTGGCATTATGGTATATCCTAGCTTTTAGAAAGTATGTGCATGAGTTGCAGGATTAAGGTACAATATGCCATTTGCCTTCTAAAAAAGACTGCATCTTTTTTTATCTCCCTCCTGTGCTGCACAAACAGACAAAAAACAAAAAGCTTCTATTCTCTCTATTCCCTCTACCCCTCTCTTCTTGTATTAAAATTACCTGCCCATGTCATCCATCCATCAGGGAATCTCATCTCAACTACCTTTTCCTTTCCCTCTTTTATTCCTTCCAATCTCGCTTAAATACACACCCTCTTTTCTATGCTTTTCTCTCTTTTTTCCCGCCTTATACTGCAGACCTCTATGCTATCCCTAATCTTTTTTTTTTTTTTTTTTTTTTAACAACTCCCCACTCTACAAGAAACGAATATTCACCCCAAATTGTATTTCTATCTAAATCCCTCCACTCTGTTCTTATTCGTTCTAATTAGGCCCATCAGAATGGTTTTCCTATCCTTGTCATCTTACCAAGTTCTGTTCACATACACGATATCCTAGAGGGGAAATGGTCAAAATAGTAGTTGAAAATGAGGTCACTGGCTACGTATCATAATGTACTTTTCAGTCTCACCTGTAGATAAAACAGAAGCTCCTAAGTAATGCTATCATTAATACAGGTACTCTACGACAATTATCACTAATCAATTGCGAACATACCAGGCAAAAGCATTTAGGTTGCCTACTTGCTCCTTGCGTCATTTCTCCTGAATCACTATATTTTAGCTCATTAAACTTGTTAACTAAAGATATTTCATTTCCTTGGCTAGTAACAAATGGGCTAAACTTAAAAGTCCATATGCTCCTGGCTTACTTCGGAAGTTTCTACGGGTAAAATTAGATGAGAAATGGAAGTACTAGGAGCATAAGTTGAAACTTGAATCGAATTGATTTTAAGAGACTTTTTGTTTCCTTCTCTATACAAAATAAGATGGATCTGGAATAAATTACAAAGTAATGCCTAGAGTAGGTAATGATTTACATCATACATAGCTGTGTATAACTTATATGTAAAAGTACCAACTGAGAGGAAAAGCTTTAGAAAATGGATAGCATCGATGTGCTCCAGAATCTGCAGGACCAATTTCTTTATAGGACTTCCTTCAAGATCCCAGATTTGGCCCATTTAAGTTCACTCCCAAATATTTATCCAGCACACTTTTGAACGCCTGTTGCAGAAAATTAAAGTAAAGCTTAATATTTCTAACAAGACAACTTCAAAAAGTAAAGTTTCAAAGCGTTGCAACAGCATATTCTCTGGTCGTGCTTATTTATTAGAAAAGGAATAAAAAAAAGTACAAATGAATATGCAGGCTAGTTGTCTGTTATATGGCGATGAAAATCATGACATTTTTTTAATAAATAAATAAGTCAAAATAAATATAATTCACTACAAGCTTAAAATGGAGTAATAAAGTTTTAAAAAATAGACATTAGTGAGGGTACAGCTAGAAAACTATGGCTAGAGAACATGCGCGTTTATTAAGATTCATGATCAAAATATGCCAAATTCACGCTAGGGAACAGATATGTGAGATATTTAAGGTTGTGAGGAGAAAGAAATCCGTTTAGAAATTAATAATGAATTCTCTCTTCTTGAAACTGAAAAATGCAACCACCATAAAAAAGAAATGCAGTTCC